CCATATTTTTATTAGGTAAGGTAAAAAATATATATTATTTCTATGATTTTCAAATGTATTTGATTTATTAACTTTTAATTTTTGCAAGTCTCACGAAGTTAGAATTGAAGAATATTTTCTATTGATTGTATGAAATTTATTTCAAATGAACAGTAAACATATTTAATGGTATACTAAAAAAATTCTCATTAAAAATTGGCACATAGCAAAAATGCTTGCAATCAAAGTACTTATTACATAATTGACATGAAATAGAAATAGGGGACAAAAAAGTTGAAAATGAAGTGTCAATATATTTTAAATCGTAGGTGTATTGAAGTCATTTAGGCTTATTTTTCAGCTAAGGCACACTAGCATTATGGGTCCACATGAGGTCATTTATTTTATTTTTTCATCTCTTATTCTTATTCTCAATTCCATCTCTCTTCCTCATTCCCCACCTACTCTATTGTATTTATGTCCTTATATACGTATGTGTTCTTGAAAACGCATGGCTTAGTTTTGCACTTGATGTATTTTAAATTTACATAAATAGGATTATACTTTAGGTCTCTCTTGATTTCTTACTATATTCAGTCAACAGTCTTTTCAAAATCTATCCATGTTGCTTTATGTTTGGGTAGTTCATTTGTTTTCACTGTGGCATATTATTTCATCTTACATGCACACCACAAGTAATTTACCCATTTTCTTAGTGGAAACATGTAGTTTGCCTCTAAATCCCCATTACCACAAACAATGTCAGAGTCTCCCTATGGGCTTGTGAGGATTCCTGTGTGAACAGTAAGCCAAGCATGGGATTGCTGGGTTATGGCGAATATTTAATTTCACAGGATCCCGCCTGTAGCAGTTTATACTCTGACAGTGTATGATGTGCCTCTTTCCTCATATTTTTACCAACATTTGAAATTATTTTTACCCATCAAACCATTTTCTTGTTCTTTTAATTCACATTACTCTGATTATAAATAAGGTTATTCATCTCTATACATACTTATTTATTAGCTATTCTGGTTTATAACTATGAAATGATTAATTATAGCCTTTCATTTTTCCTGTTGAATTTCTAACCTTTGTTTAATTAATTTGTAGAGGTTTCTTAAATATTTTAATTATTCATCTCATATTGCTTTTAGATATTGCAAACATATTTTCCTAATTTTTAATCCTTTGTTCACTTTACCTATGTTGCCCTTTATTGAACAGAAATCTTTAATTTTGATATTGTCAGATTGTTCTTATGTTTCTATACTATGTGTCTTCTTTATTCTCTCCTTCATTATTTACCGTGATATGTCTGTATAAGCAGAATATGCAAAAATGGTATTAATATTACCAGATTTGAGCTAAGCATATTTAGAAAAATGATATATGATAGCAGAAAATATAATAAAGTAATTTAATTTAAAATAGCTATAAAATATAAAATGCACTTTGACTAGTATGCACTAGTCAAAGAATACTGTGAAAGGTATTGAGCAGGAAAAAGATTATGTATAAAAGAAAAAGTTACGTTTCCAGAAAGGAGGATAGAACGTTGAATATTATGAGAAGAAAATTACACTCACATTAATTTACAGGTTTATTGCATAACCAATTAAAATCCTCCAAATAATTTTTGGACTTTGACACAATTATTCTGTTCATAAGAAAGAGTCATAGAGATCATTGTCTGTTATTTCTTTCTAGTGGACTTAAATTCTTTCAGATCAATGGCAGGCCGGAAGGAGCATGTGATAGTGTTGGGTTTGCTGTTTATGTTCAAATATTAGATGAGTCTGCTGGCTGGCATGCTTCGCTGGATCATCTGTAACCAGCCAGTGAAGTGTTAATTCTCTTTAAAAATATGTATGTCTGTATGTGTGGCTAAGATATTTCACTAGCAGTAATCATTGAATCTACATCTGAATCCTCTGGAATGTGAAATACTGGACTCTAGTTTAGGCCATTTGAAATCAGCAATTTTACAATGTGTATATGATATACTCTAATCTAGTGGTTCTCAAACTTTAGTATGTATCACAATATCAGAGGGTTTGTAAAACACAGATTCTGGTTCCCACCTCTGAGTTTCAGTTCATCTGGGCGGGAGTCTATGTTTCTAAAAAGGTCCTAGGTGATGTTGTTTCTGAGGGTTCAAGGACCACGTGTTGAGGACCACTGGTCTTGCCTCCCAATTCTATCTCTATTAACAAGGGTAGGAAGAGTGAAGCTTGCAGGAAATGGAAAATTCCAGGCCGTTAGTACAACATTGTATTTATTCACAGTCATAGAACAATGGTACAGTGTAATTTATACAAGACAGGAATTATCTGAGAACAAAGCTTTTTTCTAACTCAGTGACAACTTGGATTTGAGAAGTGCTGAGAGGGCATATCTATCGCACTGGTTTTCATTTTCAAAGTCTACTATCATTTTTAAACTAATGTCTTCTCCAGTCCCTTCTCCATTATAATTTGTTTTGTGAGGAATGCTGATTTACCAAAAGAAAGAAACCATTTAGAATCATTAAAAAATAATAGTCTCCCCTAAGTTGGTGACATTTTTTAAGGATAAATTTGAAATAGGACACTTACACTAAATTTTTTTTTCTGAAATCAAATTGCTTAATGACTGTAGCTACAGTTAAAATAGAATGAATGTGCTCCTGAGAGAGTTAACAATTATAAATCAGACATAGTGATATCATTAATAATGTATTAATAATGTACTGGTCTTAGGAAGAAATACAAGAGCTAAAAGTAATCCTTTTACTAAAGTGAAGATTCAGATGCACCCCTCTCAATTAGACTTTCCCCATTCTATTTTTTTTTTTAATTTCACCTATTCAAGCACTAGTTCACAGTTTGCCTACTCTGTTTAAGCCTTTTTTGATATTTTTATGGCACTTATCAACTTTTAATATGCTACATAATTTGCTTGGTTATTAAATTTAATGTTTATTATCTTATCTTTCTCCCATCCATATCAGTGTAACTTGTATAGCATCTTACAAGGCAGGAATTTTTTGTATGGCCAAAAACACTGCCTGGCACTAATGGCAGATCTTCAACCAATTTGCTAAATGAGTCATAGAATCAACTTGTAAACAACTCTATTTTAGTATCTGATGTGAATTTGTTGTGTACATGCAATGAGAAATGTAGTCAAAAAAAAAAAAAAAGAAAACAATAACCAAAATAAAATTACAGAATATTGGAAATCATCTAGGACAGGAGTTTCAGACTGGGGTGCATACAGACTTTCCAAGGGCAGGCATGGGATCACTTTAAGAAAATCAGTTTCCAGATCATCAATTACCCAGTGTACTCTTTCATGGATTTAAGAACTAGCCTGTGATGAGGTCCAGCTGGTACTCTGTCCCCTCCTTTTTATTTAGTCCTTTTTATTTACAATCATTTTTCTCTTACTTTACAAATGAAAGACATCTCCCACCCATCCTAAAACACAATGTAAAGTATTCCTCTGAGTAGCAAAATTCTCTGGGGCTCCAAAAAAAGAGACAATTAGAAATATTGCTTTCAATATTAACATCATCAACAATTCTAATAGTTGGCCAACAAATCCTTTGGCAAATCACTTAAAGTTAGAGGTGAGCCCAATTAAGTGTCCAGCTGACATCACTGAAAATCACTTGGAGGATAGATCAATGTGATTTTTGAGTTGTAACTTGAAGTTTAAATAATTCCTATCCAAGGTTTCTCAGAACTTATGTGTAAAACAGAATGTGAATACAATTGATGCTGATAATTGTCTCATTGTAGCAATAATTCATTCACTCACAGATGAATAAGATAATGCTTTATTTTCCCATTCATTGTATTAAAAGATATATTTCTAGTTAAATTTTTTGCTTATGCATTATTTATAAAAATTCAAAATGATGTTGTTAGACTTAATTTGGTACTACTAGTAATTATAATGATAACTTACTCCTGAAGAATTCTCTTAACACACACCATCTGTTATATATGAACATCTAACAGACACATGAGAAAATGCTCAATATTGCTAAGTGACAGGGAAATGCAAATAAAAATCACTTTGAGATATCATCTCACCCCTGTTGGACAGGCTATTATCAAAAAGACAGAATAACAAGTGCTGGTGAGGATGCAGAGAAAGAGGAACCGTCCTACACTGTCCGTGGGATTATGAATTTGTGCAGCCATTTTGGAAAATGGTATGGAGGTTCCTCAAGCAACTACAGATAGAACTGCCACATGATCCAGCAACTCTACTGCTGGGTATACCCAAAGGAATGGAAATCATAATGCCAAAAGGATTCCTACACTCTCTTGTTTATTGCAGCTCTATTTGTAATAGCCAAGAGTTGGAACCAACCTAAATGTCCATTATTCGATGACTGGATAAGGAAAATGTGGTATATTTATACAATAGAATACTTCTCAGCCGTAAAAAAAGAATGAAAGACTGCCATTTGCAGCAACATGGATGAACGTCGAGAAAATTATGTTAAGTGAAATAAGCCAGGCACGGAAAGAGAAATATCACGTCCTCACTTACAAGTGGGGGCTAAAACAAAACAGAACAAAATAAAGAAATAATAAAAAAAGTAAGATTCAACAATCATAATATGTTGAACTTTCAAAAGAAGAGAAGAGAACTGAGGTTACCAGAAGTGGGAAAGGGGGAGTTGGAGGAAGGTAAGGGACGAATTGGTAAAAGGCCACAAAAAATGATTACATTGTATAATGTTGAATATACTAATTATCCTGATTTGAGATCACATTGCACACAGGTATTATTCATTGCTGTACCCCACAGGTATGTACAATCATGTTTCAATAAATAAGACAATTTCTGATTTACATACATATACTTACTCAAGGAAATTAGGCAAGGATTAGTAAAGAGTTTCAAGCATACCCAGCTTCTAGAAAATGCAAACTGAGATGGAATTTAGTGTGCTAGATGATAATTAAGGAATGTTTTCTTGGGATCAACCTCTGTGACAGGGAGGGGAAGGAAGCTGGATTAGCTAGCCTAGAGCTTTGGCTGACCCTATGGGGAGCTCTGGAATAGTTCTTCAGTGTTGTCCTTCATTGGAATGAGATGTGCAGGTCTTTATACTCTCACATCAGTCATTGAATATGTGACACCCTAAGAAGGTGTGTGACATTGAGCAAGGGGCTGTCTGCAGCTGAGGCAGTAACTGAGGGGCTGATAGCTGAAGGCTGTCTGCAGAAAGCCTTCCCCGCAGCTGGGGCAAGAAGTCCTTCACTGAGGGGGAATGTGGGTGGTGCATCCCAGTATCCTGCAAAAATATATTTTCATTTGAGTAAAATGCTATGGGAGAAAGGGGACAAAATACAAGTCCAAAGAGAAAAATGAATGATAAAATTCTGATTGTAGAGGAGTGTGTTCATGTATTTTTTAAATAGAATATACTGAATCATATAGTATTTAAATTCCTTTGGAAACATATAAAAAGTTGTGTAAAATTGCTTCTGAAAATGTTAATATTTATAGTATGCTACAAATTTCATTCTCTGTAGCTACTTAAAGGTATGATAAAAACTTTGGATGTCAACCTGAAATATATGTGGGGGTACATTGCTTTGCAAACTTAATTTAGAGACTAAGTAAGCAAAGAATGTTGGAAGATCACTGATTTAATCTAACAAGACATTTTACAAGTGAGAGTATCAACAGAGATATTATAAGACTTGAACATAATCATACTAGTGATTAAAACCAGACCTGCACAGAAGTCTTATTACCTGTTCATTTTTCCTTATGTGACTGAAAACTCATTAAGCTACTATTTGTGAATGTACTCTGAAGAGAATAAAACTCTCATCAAGAGTCTCTTAACTTAGGGTGCGTGGGCCCCTTTCAAATTGCATGCAGCAATGTGTATATATTTATGTGCATTTTTCTGGGAGAGTGCTTTTAAAGCTTCATAGCCACTAAATAAAAGACAAGTACAAACAAAATTCATTTTTCAGTTCATATGTCTGAAACCCACATAATTGCTTTCTCAGTTTAAATTCACTTATCTCTGAAACTTACTTGAGGCTCATGCTTTTCTGACCCTCTTGCATGCTCTTGCCTCTTCCCTCTTTCAAAGGTGTCAAATAGTCCTCACACAGAGCAACCTCCTTGTATTATAAATCATACTAAATTATTCCTTATCTCAACAGGGTGACCTAGTGTATAACTATGCACGAACTGAAGACTTTTTAAAAATGGAGCGGGAAATGAAAATCAATTGCTCTGGGAAGATTGTGATTGCCAGATATGGAAAAATTTTCAGAGGAAATAAGGTAAAAATCATCTCTTTTTCTCCCCCCCTCCCCCCCCCGCAGTATAGGGAGTTACAATGTATCTTACATGAAGCATCTCCTTAAAAGTTTTGAGGACCATGATCCACTTGTATTCATTAACATGACAACTTATAGGAAGAACACATTAACTAGCCTATAGGCAATGGTTTTAAACTGGGTCATTGGCATTTGGCCAGTATAAAAGGTCAGGATGAACAGAGATGATTTTTCTGTACTTCCAAGTTATGCCTGTGGCCTCCAAAGAAGCATGCACTGGGTTTGTTGTTAACTTTCGTTGTTTTTGTTTTAAATATTATCTCCAAAAATATTTTCTAAATCAAATGTTAATATGAAATAGTTATTATAGATAATGAGAGAAACAAATTTACACATAGCAGGTTTAAAAATTACTATCACTTGATTTCTTAATATACATATTTTTTCTCTTTTGCGGGAAATTGAATTTCAAAAATATTCCCTTTCAACCATAGAACAAATAGGAATCTGGCCTGTGGAGTCTACTTGCTGGTGCTTCTAGACTAGTTGAAGGAAACAGCGAATACTTGCTACCACTAGTATGGAAATTTCTCAAATCTGCTGATCTGAGGGCTGACTCGGTTTTTGAGCTTATAGTAGGAAGAAAGTTTTTGAGCTTGTAGTAGGAAGAAGAAAAAGCCAATTCTCAGTGAGATGTCCTTCATTGTAAGCCTAACAGTAAAGGGTTGAAGATAAAGTTCAACTACTCATTGAAGTGTAATTTTGAAAACTGATGTTGCTAACTCTGGAACAACCAATATAAAGTACGAATGAAAGACACTGTTTTCCAGGTTAAAAATGCTCAGTTGGCAGGGGCCACAGGAATCATTCTTTATTCAGACCCTGCTGACTACTTTGCTCCTGGGGTGGAGCCCTATCCAGATGGCTGGAATCTTCCTGGAGGTGGAGTCCAGCGTGGAAATATCCTAAATCTTAATGGTGCAGGGGACCCTCTCACACCAGGTTATCCAGCAAATGGTGAGTGATCAGCCTCAAATATCACAGGAAACTTAGTAACGTTTTAGTGTGGTTTTATTAAAGAATTGTCTTTGAAACATGCTGTATGTCTTTTCCTTATTCTCTTTGCATCTAAGAATTAAAGAATCTCAAGCTCTGAAAATTATTGGTTCAAGTCCCCTATTCCTTATTTGGAATGCTTGGGCCTGATGAATTTTAGAATTCAGACTTTCTCAGATATTTAAAAAGTAATATGCTGCATATAACATATATCATGTAACACTAACATGAGGGCTGGGACAGAATGCAGAAAACAAGCATATAAATATTTTTGTGGCAATATATGAATGTACTGTGTGATGTATACTTAGTATATATGAACATACTTAGTGTATATGAACATACAAAGTGAGGGTAAAAAGGAATATAAATGCACTCAAGTATGCTCAAGTCAGATTTTGCTGTCAAAGGAGTTCAGGTCAGATTAAGTTTTGTTGTCAAGTAAATTCCCCACAAATTTATGGTTTTCACAGGTTTGGGGATTTCTCAGTTATGAATAAGGGATAGGAGAACAGAATTCTATAAATCTGTTAAATAGCATATTTAGAATACAGAGCTCAGAAAATGCATATTGTTTCGTTGCTCTGTAAAGATAACAGTGATAATTATCAAGTTGTGTTTCCTAAATGATAGCACTTTACATGCATTAACAGCCATATAAACTAAGTGCTATTATTATCCCTAATTGACAGGGGTTGGGGGGAGTGACACTAGAATCTGCAATCCACCCAAGATCAGCACATCACTAAGCGAGGAGGATTTGAGATTGAAATTTAGGCAGTCTGGCTCCCGCATTTACATAGTTGTCTTACCTGAAATGCTCCCTTGTAAAACATTAACAAAGGGAGCTAATTTATTTTGAATGTACTCAGCTATCTGATGACGTGTACAAATATTTGGGTTCAGTTTGTGTAGTTTAAAAGTACCTAAATGGAGTAACTTGGATAAAATAGTTTGCCAAAGTATCTGTGGCATTTACATATTTATTCCTCTTCTGATTTTTCCATCAAATTATAGAGTCATCTAAAAGAGTTCAGGTCAGATTAAGTTTGGTTGTCAAGTAAATTCCCCACAAATTTATGGTTTTCACAGGTTTTGGGATTTCCCAGTTATGAATAAGGGACAGGAGAACAGAATTCTATAAATCTGTTAAATAGCATATTTAAAATACAGAGCTCAGAAAATGCATATTGTTTCATTGCTCTGTAAAGATAACAGTGATAATTATCAAGTTGTGTTTCCTAAATAATAGCACTTTACATGCATTAACAGCCATATAAACTAAGTGCTATTATTATCCCTAATTGACAGGGGTGGGGGGGAGTGACCCTAGAATCTGCAATCCACCCAAGATCAGCACATCACTAAGCGAGGAGGAGTTGGGATTGAAATTTAGGCAGTCTGGCTCCCGCATTTACATAGTTGTCTTACCTGAAATGCTCCCTTGTAAAACATTAACAAAGGGAGCTAATTTATTTTGAATGTACTCAGCTATCTGATGACGTGTACAAATATTTGGGTTCAGTTTGTGTAGTTTAAAAGTACCTAAATGGAGTAACTTGGATAAAATAGTTTGCCAAAGTATCTGTGGCCTTTACATATTTATTCCTCATCTGATTTTTCCATCAAATTATAGAGTCATCTAAAGCTTATGTATTTGTTGTCTTTGTAAATCTTAGTTCATAGTACATTGTCATAGATTGTTTTCTTTCATTTGACAGTAATATATTACCTTATAATAAAATCACGTGAATCTACCTGAGTTTTACTTATCTACTTTTTTTATTCCCAAGTCTTAAAAAATGTGAC